GGGAACACAAGGAACCTGAGGGGCTCAGGTAGACTGGGAGCACTTGAAAAGCATCAGGTGGCCCTGGGGCTCCTCAGGGACCCCACGAGCGTTGTGCTGTCGGAAGGACACGATGTCCTACTGGGCTGGCTCGCTGTCCTCAGTGACGCTGTTTCTTTCCTCAAACCCCACAGTCTTTTCCCTAAAGAAAAGGGTGCTGCCTCTGCCTGCAGCAGGCTGGGCTGAGCGAGGCCTGCACAGGCAACACGTCAGGTGTTTCCCTCTTGCCCACTCTCTCTCTGCAGGAGGACTATGCCAAGGCAGAGGCTGATGCATCTAAAGGTCAGTGGCTGGCAGGGGACTGGCCTCTGTGCGCTGTCTGTCCGGGCAGACCGGAGCAGTCCAGGGGCTTTGCGATAGATCCCCCGCTCATCCACAGCCATTGAAGCCGATGGCCGGGACATGAAGGCACTGTTCCGCCGGAGCCAGGCGCTGCAGAAGCTGGGCCGCCTGGACCAGGCTGTCAGTGACCTGCAGCGGTGCGTGAGCCTGGAGCCCAAGAACAAGGCCTTCCAGGAGGCCCTACGCTCCCTGGGGAGCAGCATGCACGAGAAGGTGAGGGGGGAGGCAGCGTGGGGGGTGGACGCTGCTGTGGCCCTCCCGTGGGTGTGGTGGGTTCAGGGAAGCGGTGAGGGCTGAACTGCTCTTTCTGCTCTGTCTCAGATGAAGACCATGTCCTGCACGGACTCGAAGGTAGAGCAGATGTTCCAGATCTTGCTGGATCCTGAAGAAAAGGATGCGGACAAGAAGCAAAAGGTCTGAGCTCTGGGGAACGGAGGGCAACGCGGCTTGGCTGGAAGGCAGGGAGGGGAAGAACGGTATTCCCAGGTCAGTGCTGCTGGCCGAACGGTGCTGCCCGGGTGAGGCCTGGCTTCCCGCCAGCAGAACGTGCTCCCCAGAGATTGGGGGCAGAAGGCAGGTGCCTGCGGCTGCGCTGGCTGCCCAGCTGGCTCCCGCTGGGGAAGTTCCCTGCACACAGTGGGCTGCATTCTGGTGTGCAGGTGACCCAGGCGTGACTCTCCTTTCCCAGGCTGCACAGAACCTGATAGTGCTGGCGCGAGAGGAGGCCGGAGCAGAGAAGATCTTCCAAAGCGATGGTGTGCGGCTGCTGACGCAGCTGCTCGACACGGCCAAGGCTGACCTGATGCTGGCGGCCCTGCGCACCCTCGTGGGGCTGTGCTCCGGGCACCGCTCCCGGGTAGGTCCCACCGTAGCCCAGCTCTCCTGCGTGACAGGGCCTGGCCCAGGGAGTCGGTGTCAGGGAGGCTGTGAAGCATGTCGGACAGGGGAGCGTCACTGGACTCTGCCTGCGGCTGGCTGCAGCCCTGCTGAGCAGAGGAGCTCTGAGCTGTCACCTGCCAGGCCTGAGTTTGTGAGAGCCTTGTGACAGGGAACCGTCCTGATAAGGTGCTGGGAAGCGCTAAGGCTTCACTGAAGCCTCCAGCAGACGGTTGTGCTTCTGCCTGCAGACCATGGCCATCCTAGCGGAGCTGGGGGCCCCTCGTCTCTCAGCGGTGCTGGGTGTGGAGCACGAGCAGGTTTCCCTGGCTGCTTGCAACCTTCTGCACGTGATGTTCGATTCCCTGAAGGAGGGGCTGCAGAAGGACTTCCGTGGCAAGGAGGATGCGGTGGTGCTGGGTGAGTGCCTGCTGCCCCAGCTGGCTGGCGTGGGGTGGGGAGAGCACCCTGGGGAGGTTCTTCTCCTGCTGCCCGCCTTGTCACCGCTCCCTGCCGCAGAGCCGGGGCTCCGGTCCAGGGTTAATACGAGGTTGAGCTGGGAGGCAGGGGCCCTTGGTCATGGCAGCATCTCCTGCCAGCCTTTCCACGGCCTGCGCCCAAGGCGCTGACTGCTGGGCACCGTCTCTTCTGCAAGATTCCTCCAAGGACCTGAAACTGCTGATCAAGCACCTCCTGGAGCTGCTAGCGCTGGAAGGGGCCTCTGCGCATGGCCGTGACAACGCCCTCAACCTGCTCATCAAAGTGGTGCCCAGGAAGTCACCGAAGGAGACCAATAACAGCATGAGCCTCTGGGTGATCGACCAGGGTGAGCAGAACAGCCTGCAACATCCCGCTGAGGCATCGTGCCCCTCTGCCTTGGGGTGCCACGTGCCTCGGCTCTGCCTGCACACCCCATTTTGCTCCTCACTGGGGTGTCTGACCTCGCATTCTCCTAGGCCTGAAGAAGATCCTGGAGGTGGGAAGCACAGTGTGCGGTGCCCCGGGCAGCCTGCCCGTGACGGAGAACAGCCGGATGAGCGCCTCAGTTCTGCTGAGCAAACTTTATGATGACCTGAAATGTGATGCTGAGAGGGAAAACTTCCACCACTTGTGCGAGGACTACGTGAGGTGAGCCCAGGCATCCCTGGGGGCCAGGGGGAGGTTCAGTCTCATACAGCCAGCAGCCTTCTGGGGAAGTAGCAGCACCACTATCCCCAGACCTTTTTGCTCTTAGTGATAAAAGCAGATTGCAGACCCACCAGAGACCTGCTGTGTTGGGGGTCAGCAGGGGGGGCTGCGTGTGGCTGAAGGCAGTGGGTGGGATCAGCCTTACCCTTCCTGGTGGTCTTCCCCTGCAGGAGCTGGTTCGAGGGGCACGAGCTGGCTGGGAAGCTGCGGGCCATCCAGACGGTGTCGTGCCTGCTGCAGGGCCCCTCGGATGCTGGGAACAGGGTGCTGGAGCTGGAGGGGATCATGGACAGCGTGCTGTCCCTCTGCGCCTCCGTCTGTGAGGCGCACCAGCTGGTAGCGGTGGAGGCACTGATCCACGCTGCTGACAAGGCCAAGCGCGCCTCCTTCATCACAGCCAACGGTGTCAGCCTGCTCAAGGAGATCTACAAGCACAGCGAGAGGGACAGCATCCGCATCCGGGCGCTGGTGGCGAGTGTGTCGGGCGTGGGGCAGGGCGAAGGAGGAGCGGCTGTGCCAAGCCCTTGGGTGGTCCTGGGCAGGCTGTGGCTGCAGGGCCCGTGGGTCTGCAGCGCTGTCCCCTCCCTGCTGGGGGGCTCTCACAGGCACCTCGGGGTGACCGTGGCCATTCCTGCCCTGATGCTCTGCTCCTGGCTGCAGGGGCTCTGCAAGCTGGGATCCGCCGGAGGCACCGACTTCAGCATGAAGCAGTTTGCTGAGGGCTCCACGATGAAATTGGCCAAGCAGTGCCGCAAGTGAGTGCTGCCGGGTGTGGGGCGGCGGGGAGCCGGGCAGGGTGCCCTGCAGCCTGGGCTCACGGCGCCCGTCTCCCAGGTGGCTCTGCAATGAGACAATCGATGCGGGCACGCGGCGCTGGGCGGTGGAGGGCCTGGCCTACCTCACCTTCGATGCGGATGTCAAGGAGGAGTTTGTGGAGGACAAGGCAGCGATGCAGGCCATGTTCCACTTAGCCAAGGTGCGTGCTGAGCGCTGTGGCGGGGGCCCTGGGTGGTGGGTACCCTGGTACTGGGGAAACACGCTGGAGGGGGTTGTGGGGCTCATGCTACGGGGCTGGGGTGTGTGCAGGGGCTCAGTGGGGCTGGGTGGGCTCGAGCCCTGGCCTGTCCTCTCCGTCATGGGTGTGATGGATGTCCCATTATTGCTGCAGTCGGAGGACAGGAGTGTGCTCTACGCTGTCGCCTCCACACTAGTGAACTGCACCAACAGCTATGACCACGAGGAGCCGGACCCCCAGATGCTGGAGCTGGCCAAGTACGCCAAGCAGCACATTCCGGAGCAGCACCCCAAGGTGAGCAGGGCACAGCCGTTCTCAGGAGCTGCTGGGAGCCCTCGCCCGCGGGGAGAGCATGTGGGTGGGCAGAGCCCAGGGTCCTGGCTGGGGACAGGGTGGCCTTGGGGCCTTCA